CCTGCAAGTATACTTCAGGTGCACTGCAAGTGCAGTTGCTTTAGATCCGAGGGGACGCTCTGAAATGAGGCAAAGCTCTGCTGATTTCTTTCATCCAATCATGTGCAAGCAAAAATGCTGTTTTTTTATTTTCCTTGCATGTTCCCCTCAGATCTAGAGCAAGTGCACTTGCAGTGCACAGCTTATTTTTGCCTAGGATACCTAGAATATTAGGAAAAGAGGGTGATGCGATTAGCTGGAAACTGATATTCTTACAGTGATGATGCTCAATTTGAAGTTTAAGAACATTCTCATCGGTAATTGGCCCTGAAGATAAAGGCAAAATATCAACAGTCTCCATATCATTAGATGCAGATTTATTTCTCATTTTGATATGATTGTTTTTAGTAAATTCAGTGTCCATGAATCCCACAGCTCCAGATTCCAGCATAGCAGAACAAGGATTTTCATGGCTCTCAAGGATGATTTGGGTAGGAATGCCAAAATTAGATGGTTGGGTATTAATTATATTTTCTTTTTTGAATTACTGGTGAGAGAGACTGAGCATTTATTTGTTTAAAATACATCATTTGTTAGCAATTTACTGCATAATATCCCATCAGTATAGACAAACATTCTCAGAACGCTGACTTTCCTTTTCCTGAATAGAAATATATGCCCTAATTGCATCAATCTGCAAAGGTTCAGGAGTGTTGAAATCTGGACAAACATTATGATCCTTCTGTGCAGAATGACTGTAAGGAAAATGCATGCCTCAATTACATGCAAACATTCCTAGTCTCTCCTTCCTTCTTTCTGTGAGCTTCTGAATAAATTGTAATTTATGTAATTGAATGAACTTCTCGAGGTCCTTAGGAGTTTCTCTTCTGGCAAGCTCATCTTTAACTTGTTGAACTGACTTTTTTTGTGCTGATGGGTTCCACGTGGTATCTGCAATCCAATGTCAAAATTCAGCTATGTATTCATTAACATAATGTTTACTGTTCCGCAAACTATACAGCTTAGCTTCAGTAGTAGCACAGGGGTTGGGATCACTAAAGACTTGATTCATAGGGGTTACAAACTCATTGAGTTCACCCAAGATTGTACTGTCATATTCTACATAAGTGGAGGCCCAGGCTAGGGCTTCCTCAGTCAGTAGGTTAATAATAAACAGTGTCTTTTTTTTCTTCAAAATGATTGCATTAGCTTGAAACTGGAAGCACATACCACATTAGTTAGGGAACCCTCTGTAATGGTGGTGGTCTCTATTGAATTTAAGTGGTAGAGGCATATGAGCACGTTAGCCTACAGTGGCACTCAATCAGGAGCATAAATCCAGTTGTTGTCTCTACAGATTATGGATCTCCACTTGTTGACCTTTCACCACATTTTGAATTTCAGAAATGTTTTCTTGATAAAAAAACATCAAATATTTGCAATTTTGCAAATGGCTGCTTTACAAGAGCAATAGCGGTTGCCACAGTGGACTCAATGGTGGCCAGAATATTGTGCCATGATCTCAGGACAGGTTTAAAGTCCAGTAGCTGAAATATCTAACAATCTTTTGTTTCTCAGTAGGCCAGATTTGGTACACAAGCCGGCAGTAGTGGTAAAAAAGCATGTAGAAATGTAGTTTCTTATAGGAAGTTCAAAGAGGAGAACGGAGTTCAAAATTAATCAAGAAACTAGGCATCTAGGAAGATTTTCCAAGAGATCAGGCAAAGTGCTATCCAGCACTTTAGGTGGCACAGTAAGAAGAGCCATTACCAGACACAGCAGAGGCCCGTGGTTTGGATCTGGGTCATGATATTTCTACTTATTGATCAACTGTACTATGTAATCATCCATTTATGTTTTCTTTGTATACTTACTGTATTGTGCAAACCGTCAATACATTTGTTTGGAAGAAAAAAAAAGACAGGAAGCAACAGTTTAAAGGAGGAACAAGAGTATCTTTGGCAACTTTTGATAGACATTTTTATTATGACAGATAAAAATTAATATCTTGACTAATCCCTATGGCTTGGCTGTCTAATTGTTTAAATCCATTTAAGTTCTTTACACAATTAGTACAATGACCTTTTTCACAAAGCAGCACATACCTGTATTAAAGCCCCTGTCACCCTCTCTACTTGTCCTGTTGACTGATTTCACTAGTTCTGAAGGTGGGGGGAAAGTCCAATATTGTGAGTTGTCAAAAGGAGAGAAACATAGGGGAAGTCTTCCAATGGAGATACTTGTTCTGGTGACAGCTGTCTATGGGGAAACCTGATTAACTTTAGAGAGTTTTCTTTCCCCTCCCTGTTGTGTTTACTGAACAGGAAACTCTCGAGTGGAACACAGATGACCTAAGAAAAACCTGATGGGGTTCTACCCGTTCCTAAGCTTTGACTTTAGATATAACTTACACTGATGTTGTTATTGCATATAAGTGTCAGGGCTCCCGGGTATGACCAGAGGTGTGTGACTGACGCAGGGAAACGCAGACTTCAGATATGTTATAAACAATGTAATTTATTAACACTAACAATACAAACATAAACGCAGTGCAAACAAACCAACCAACCACCCACAGATAACAGTACATACAATGCAAGCGTCGTCAGGCAGGCCGGGTCAATATCAGTCGGGCAGGTAGGTACAGGGGGAGCAAGCGGAGAATGGTCGGGGTCACAGGCCAGGTTCAGCAGGTAGCGGGCAGCGTGGTACAGAGGGTCAGGCAGAGGAGAATGGTCAGACAAGCCAGGGATCAGAGCAGGGTCAGCAGAGAATCAGACAGGAACAGAGAGCAGGAACAGGATACAGGGCCCAAGAGAAAACACAACACCAAGGCAGAGTCTGCAGGTCTGAATGTCCCTTAAATACACCGGTATAATTAGTTCCAGGTGTTTGACTGGCTGCAAGGTTGAGTCTCTGATTGCTGGGAGCACCCGCTGGCCAGCCCTGGTACTGCAGCTCATAAGGCAGCTGAGTCCCACTATTGCTGGCCAGTCCATTCCTGACAGTACCCCCCCCCTCAAGGAGCGGCCTCAGGACGCTCCAAACAGTCCTAGTTGGGCAAAATGTTCCACCGCCCGGTTCTGGTAACTGGCGGGATATCAAAGACTGGCACACCGGGCAGGACTCCGGGCAGCGGCACACCGGGCAGAGGCACATTGGGCAGGACTCCGGGCAGAGGCACATCGGGCTGGACTCCGGGCAGAGGCACATCGGGCTGGACTCCGGGCAGAGGCACATCGGGCTGGACTCCGGGCAGAGGCACTCCGGGCAGCGGCACACCGGGCAGAGGCACATCGGGCTGGACTCCGGGCAGAGGCACATCGGGCTGGACTCCGGGCAGAGGCACATCGGGCTGGACTCCGGGCAGAGGCACATCGGGCTGGACTCCGGGCAGAGGCACATCGGGCTGGACTCCGGGCAGAGGCACATCGGGCAGAGGCACACCGGGCAGAGGCACACCGGGCTGGACTCCGGGCAGAGGCACATCGGGCAGGACTCCGGGCAGAGGCACATCGGGCAGGACTCCGGGCAGAGGCACATCGGATTACCAGGCGAAGCAGCAGGCAGCGGGCCACCAGGCGGAGCAGCAGGCACCGGGCCCCCAGGCAGAGCAGCAGGCAGTGGGCCCCCGGGCGGAGCAGCAGGCAGCGGGCCCCCGGGCGGAGCAGCAGGCAGCGGGCCCCCGGGCGGAGCAGCAAGCACCGGGCCCCTGGGCGGGGCAACAGGCATCGGGCCGCCAGGCGGGGCAACAGGCATCAAGCCCCCAGGCGGAGCGGCGGGCGCCAGACCCCCAGGCGGAGCGACAGGTCTTGGGCCCTCAGGAGGGGCGACAGGCGTCGGGCCCCCAGATGGAGCGACAGGTCTCGGGCCCTCAGGTGGAGCGGCGGGCGCCGGACCCCCAGGTGGAGCGACAGGTCTCGGCCCTCAGGCGGAGCGGCGGGCGCCGGACCCCCAGGTGGAACGACAGGTCTCGGGCCCTCAGGCGGAGCGGCGGGTGCCGGACCCCCAGGTGGAGCGACAGGTCTCGGCCCTCAGGCGGAGCGGCGGGCGCCGGACCCCCAGGTGGAGCGACAGGTCTCGGGCCCTCAGGCGGAGCGGCGGGCGCCGGACCCCCAGGCGGAGCGACAGGTCTCGGGCCCTCAGGCGGAGCGGCGGGTGCCGGACCCCAGGCGGAGCGACAGGTCTCGGGCCCTCAGGCGGAGCGGCGGGCGCCGGACCCCCAGGCGGAGCGACAGGTCTCGGGCCCTCAGGCAGAGCGGCGGGCGCCGGACCCCCAGGTGGAGCGACAGGTCTCGGGCCCTCAGACGGAGCGACAGGTCTCAGGCCCCCAGGCGGGGCGGCGGGCGCCGGACCCCCAGGCGGAGCGGCGGGCGCCGGACCCCCAGGCGGAGCGACAGGTCTCGGGCCCCCAGGCGAAGCGGCGGGCACCGAGTCACCAGGCACGACAGTGGGCTCCGAGTCAACTGGCATGACCGCTGGCACTGGGTCAGACATTGGATCGTCTGGCTGGACAGCGGGCATCGGGTCACCAGGCATCAGGTCATTTGGCTCGACAGCGGGCACCGCGTCATCTGGCAAGGCAGTGGGCTCCGAGTCAACTGGTATGACCGCGGGCACTGGGTCAGACATTGGATCGTCTGACTGGACAGCGGGCATCGGGTCACCAGGCATCAAGTCATTTGGCTCGACAGCGAGCACCGCGTCATCTGGCAAGGCAGTGGGCTCCGAGTCAACTGGCATGACCGTGGGCACTGGGGCAGACATTGAATCGTCTGGCTGGACAGCGGGCATCGGGTCACCAGGCATCAGGTCATTTGGCTCGACAGCGGCACCGCGTCATCTGGCAAGGCAGTGGGCTCCAAGTCAACAGGCACGACAGTGGGCACCGGTCATCAGGTACCGGATTGTCTGGCTCGACAGCGGGCATCGGGTCACCAGGTATGACAGCGGGCACTGGGTCACCAGGCATCAGGTCATTTGGCTTGCCAGCGGGCACCGCGTCATCTGGCAAGGCAGTGGGCACCGGGTCACCAGGCATTGGATCGTCTGGCTCGACAGTGGGCATCGGGTCACCAGATATGACAGCGGGCACTGGGTCACCAGGCATCAGGTCATTTGGCTTGCCAGCGGGCACCGCGTCATCTGGCAAGGCAGTGGGCACCGGGTCACCAGGCATTGGATCGTCTGGCTCGACAGCGGGCATCGGGTCACCAGGTATGACAGCGGGCACTGGGTCACCAGGCATCAGGTCATTTGGCTCGCCAGCGGGCACCGCGTCATCTGGCAAGGCAGTGGGCACCGAGTCACCAGGTACGACAGCGGGCTCTGTGTCAATTGGCACGACAGCGGGCACCGGATCAGGTACCGGATCATCTGGATCAACAGCGGGCATCGAGTCAACTGGCCTAATAGGATCGTCAGGCTGGATCAGTTCATCATGCTGGGTAGAGGCATCAGGCTGAATGCAGGCGTCCGGCTGAGTAGAGGCTTCAGGCTGAATACAGGCTTCAGGCCGAGTAGAGGCTTCAGGCCGAGTAGAGGCTTCAGGCTGCGTACAGGCATCAGGCTGAGTACAGGCATCAGGCTGAGTAGAGGATTCAGGCTGAGTAGAGGCTTCCGGCTGAACCACGGAAGGCTGGTTCACCGGTTTGGATACTGGCAGGATGGTATTGGTTGAAAAGAATTTTCGCTTTTTTCTGGTTTTAACTACTGGAGCACTGCAAGTAAACGCAGGTCTGCAAACGAATGGAGCAGCTGGAGACAGAGAAGAGCTGGAGGATGGAACAGGAGAGGGAGCAGTTGCTACAGAGGGCTTTTTTACAGGGTTAAAGGCAGGATAGGTGCAGCGAGTGGGAACAGGGTACTGACATGCTCCGATAGATAGCAGGGCAGGAGGAGCTGTTGGGAATGCAGGAATAGAGCTTTGAGGAAATAGATTAGAAGCAGGACTGGGTCTTTGTAAGCTGACTGAGGCTGGGTGCAACAAGTCTGTCCATGTCTGCAGTATGGGTTGAACAAAGCTGAGCTTACACAAAGCCTGTCTGACCAAAGACTGCACTGCGTTTATACAATCTCTTAGTGTCTGTGGTGAACATGTGGAATAACGCTCCAGAAAGTAACCCACATCATCCTCTAATAACCACACCAGGGACTCTACCTGGTCTGCACTAAATGGTGGCAAAAATTCATCCCTGCATTCGGGGGTACCAGATGAAACCAACTCAGCACAAACCTCAATCAATGGCTGCACCTCAGAGAACTCTGTGCCCTGATCTACTAGAACATGAGCGAGCCGTAAACATTCTAGCAGTTCATCCCGGGGATACTCCTTCAGAGTTTGATAAGCATACTCCCTGTCATCAAACACTAGCAGATATAAATACGCAACCTCATCCAGATCCATCCTTCCCATCAACAAACCAAGATGGCTTCCCTGTGCAGCCACTTCTGGTCAGGATTGGCCTTGGTGTAATATCAGGGCTCCCGGGTATGACCAGAGGTGTGTGACTGACGCAGGGAAACGCAGACTTCAGATATGTTATAAACAATGTAATTTATTAACACTAACCATACAAACATAAACGCAGTGCAATACTAAAACATAACACAGTGCAAACAAACCAACCAACCACCCACAGATAACAGTACATACAATGCAAGCGTCGTCAGGCAGGCCGGGTCAATATCAGTCGGGCAGGTAGGTACAGGGGGAGCAAGCAGAGAATGGTCGGGGTCACAGGCCAGGTTCAGCAGGTAGCGGGCAGCGTGGTACAGAGGGTCAGGCAGAGGAGAATGGTCAGACAAGCCAGGGATCAGAGCAGGGTCAGCAGAGAATCAGACAGGAACAGAGAGCAGGAACAGGATACAGGGCCCAAGAGAAACACAACACCAAGGCAGAGTCTGCAGGTCTGAATGTCCCTTAAATACACCAGTATAATTAGTTCCAGGTGTTTGACTGGCTGCAAGGTTGAGTCTCTGATTGCTGGGAGCACCCGCTGGCCAACCCTGGTACTGCAGCTCATAAGGCAGCTGAGTCCCACTATTGCTGGCCAGTCCATTCCTGACAATAAGAATTACTGCAACCAGCATAAAACATTAACCACAAGCATATAGATGCTGTCAGGAATGGACTGGCCAGCAATGGTGGGACTCACCTGCCTTTTGATCTGCAGTACCAGTGCTGGCCAGCGGGTGCTCCCAGCAATCAGAGACTCAACCTTTCAGCCAGCTAACACCTGGAACTGATGATGCTGGGGTATTTAAGGGATGGCCAGACCCACAGACTCTGCCTTGGTGTTGTGTTTCTCTTGGGCCCTGTATCCTGTTCCTGCTCTCTGTTCCTGTCTGATTCTCTGCTGACCCTGCTCTGATCCCTGGCTTGTCTGACCATTCTCCTCTGCCTGACCCTCTGTACCACGCTGCCCGCTACCTGCTGAACCTGGCCTGTGACCCCGACCATTCTCCGCTTGCTCCCCCTGTACCTACCTGCCCGACTGATATTGACCCGGCCTGCCTGACGACGCTTGCATTGTATGTACTGTTATCTGTGGGTGGTTGGTTGGTTTGTTTGCACTGTGTTATGTTTTAGTATTGCACTGCGTTTATGTTTGTATGGTTAGTGTTAATAAATTACATTGTTTATAACATATCTGAAGTCTGCGTTTCCCTGCGTCAGTCACACACCTCTGGTCATACCCGGGAGCCCTGATATTACACCAAGGCCAATCCTGACCAGAAGTGGCTGCACAGGGAAGCCATCTTGGTTTGTTGATGGGAAGGATGGATCTGGATGAGGTTGCGTATTTATATCTGCTAGTGTTTGATGACAGGAGTATGCTTATCAAACTCTGAAGGAGTATCCCCGGGATGAACTGCTAGAATGTTTACGGCTCGCTCATGTTCTAGTAGATCAGGGCACAGAGTTCTCTGAGGTGCAGCCATTGATTGAGGTTTGTGCTGAGTTGGTTTCATCTGGTACCCCCGAATGCAGGGATGAATTTTTGCCACCATTTAGTGCAGACCAGGTAGAGTCCCTGGTGTGGTTATTAGAGGATGATGTGGGTTACTTTCTGGAGCGTTATTCCACATGTTCACCACAGACACTAAGAGATTGTATAAACGCAGTACAGTCATTGACCAGACAGGCTTTGTGTAAGCTCAGCTTTGTTCAACCCATACTGCAGACATGGACAGATTTGTTGCACCCAGCCTCAGCCAGCTTACAAAGACCCAGTCCTGCTTCTAATCTATTTCCTCAAACTCTATTCCTGCATTCCCAACAGCTCCTCCTGCCCTGCTATCTACCGCATGTCAGTACCCTGTTCCCACTCGCTGCACCTATCCTGCCTTTAACCCTGTAAAAAAGCCCTCTGTAGCAACTGCTCCCTCCCCTGTTCCATCCTCCAGTTCTTCTCTGTCTCCAGCTGCTCCATTCGTTTGCAGACCTGCGTTTACTTGCAGTGCTCCAGTAGTTGAAACCAGAAAAAAGCGAAAATTCTTTCCAACCAATACCATCCTGCCAGTATCCAAACCGGTGAGCCTGCCTTCCGTGACTCAGCCGGAAGCCTCTACTCAGCCTGATGCCTCTACTCAGCCTGATGCCTCTACTCAGCCTGAAGCCTCTACTCAGCCTGATGCCTCTACTCAGCCTGATGCCTCTCTTCAGCCTGATGCCGGTACGCAGCCTGATGCCTCTCTTCAGCCTGATGCCTCTACTCGGCCTGAAGCCTCTACTCGGCCTGATGCCTCTACTCGGCCTGAAGCCTCTACTCAGGCCTGAAGCCTCTACTCGGCCTGATGATGCCTCTACTCGGCCTGAAGCCTCGATACTCGGCCTGATGCCTCTACTCGGCCCCTGTCGTGCCTGACACAGAGACCCGGCTGTCGCCTCTACTCGGCCTGACTGCCTTCTACTCGGCCTGATGCCTCTACTCGCCCTGAAGCCTCTACTCGGCCTGATGCCTCTACTCGGCCTGATGCCTCTACTCGGACCCTGATGCCTCTACTCGGCCTGAAGCCTCATACTCGGCCTGATGCCCTACTCGGCCTGAAGCCTCTACTCGGCCTGAAGCCTCTACTCGGCCTGATGCCTCTACTCAGCCTGAAGCCTCTACTCAGCCGGACGCCGGCATTCAGCCTGATGCCTCTACCCAGCATGATGAACTGATCCAGCCTGACGATCCTATTAGGCCAGTTGACTCGATGCCCCACGCTGTTGATCCAGATGATCCGGTACCCTGATCCGGTGCCCGCTGTCGAAGCCAAATGACCTGATGCCTGGTGACCCAGTGCCCGCTGTCATACCTGGTGACCCGATGCCCGCTGTCGAGCCAGACAATCCGGTACCTGATGACCCGGTGCCCACTGTCGTGCCTGTTGACTCGGAGCCCACTGCCTTGCCAGATGACGCGGTGTGCCGTTGTCGAGCCAAATGACCTGATGCCTGGTGACCCGATGCCCGCTGTCCAGTCAGACGATTCAATGTCTGACCCAGTGCCCGCGGTCATACCAGTTGACTCGGAGCCCACTGCCTTGCCAGATGACGCGGTGCCCGCTGTCGAGCCAAATGACCTGATGCCTGGTGACCCAGTGCCCGCTGTCCAGTCAGACGATCCAATGTCTGACCCAGTGCCCGCGGTCATACCAGTTGACTCGGAGCCCACTGCCTTGCCAGATGACGCGGTGCCCGCTGTCGAGCCAAATGACCTGATGCCTGGTGACCCGATGCCCGCTGTCCAGCCAGACGATCCAATGTCTGACCCAGTGCCAGCGGTCATCCCAGTTGACTCGGAGCCCACGGTTGTGCCTGGTGACTCGGTGCCCGCCGCCCCGCCTGGGGGCCTGAGACCTGTCGTTCCGCCTAAGGGCCCGAGTCCTGTCGCTCCGCCTGGGGGTCCGGCGCCCGCCACTCCGCCTGAGGGTCCGAGACCTGCCTCCGCCCCGCCTGGGGGTCCGAGACCTGTCGCCTGGGGGTCCGGCGCCCGCCGCTCCGCTTGAGGGCCCGAGACCTGTCGCTCCTCCTGGGGGTCCGGCGCCCGCCGCTCCGCCTGAGGGCCCGAGAGACCTGTCGCTCCGCCTGGGGGTCCGGCGCCCGCCGCTCCGCCTGAGGGCCCGAGACCTGTCGCTCCACCTGGGGGTCCGGCGCCCGCCGCTCCGCCTGAGGGCCCGAGACCTGTCGCTCCACCTGGGGGTCCGGCGCCCGCCGCTCCGCCTGAGAGCCCGAGGACCTGTCGCTCCCCTCCTGGGGGTCCGGCGCCCGCCGCTCCGCCTGAGGGCCCGAGACCTGTCACTCCGCCTGGGGGGTCCGGCGCCCGCCGCTCCGCCTGAGGGCCCGAGACCTGTCGGTCCATCTGGGGGTCCGGCGCCCGCCGCTCCGCCTGAGGGCCCGAGACCTGTCGCTCCGCCTGGGGGTCCGGCGCCCGCCGCTCCGCCTGGGGGCACGATGCCTGTCGCCCCGCCTGGGGGCACGATGCCTGTCGCCCCGCCTGGGGATACGATGCCTGTCGCCCCGCCTGTCCCGAGGGGACGATACCTGTCAGGGGCACGATGCCTGTCACCCCGCCTGGGGGGCACGATGCCTGTCGCCCCGCCCGGGGGCCGGTGCTGCTGCTCCGCCCGGGGGCCCGGTGCCTGCTGCCCCGCCCGGGGGCCCGGTGCCTGCCGCTCCGCCCGGGGGGCCCGGTTGCCACCTGCTCGCCCGGGGGCCCGCCTGCCTCGGCCCTGGGCCCCGGTGCCCATCCGCCCTGGCCCCTGCTTGCCGTCCGCCTGGGTATCCGATGCCTGCCTCTGCCCGGTAGTCCTGCCCGATGTGCTCGTGCCTCTGCCCGGGTCCTGCCCGATGTGCCTCTGCCTAGGAGTCCAGCGCCGATGTGCCTCTGCCCGGATGTGCCATCTGCCCGATGTGCCTCTGCCCGGAGTCCAGCCCGATGTGCCGATGTGCCTCTGCCCGGAGTCCAGCCCGATGTGCCTCTGCCGGAGTCCTGAGCCCGAGTGCACGGGTGGTCTTCCATCTTGCCCGGAGTCCAGCCCGGATGTGCCCTCTGCCAGCGAGTCCAGGCCGATGTGCCCTCTTGCCCGGAGGTCCAGCACGATGTGCCTCTGACCGGAGTCCTGCCCAATGTGCCTTCTGCCCGGTGTGCCGCTGCCCGAAGTCCTGCCCGGTGTGTGTGCCTAAGTCTTTGATATCCCGCCAGTTACCAGAACCGGGCGGTGGAACATTTTGCCCAGCTAGGATGTTTTGGGCGTTGAGGCCGCTCCTTGGGGGGGGGGTACTGTAGGAATGGACTGGCCAGCAATTGGGGTT